ATTACTGTGTAAGCATATGTTTGAGATCATTTTCTTATGTTTCCAATGAATTAAAATATCCATTGATTTTGGGGGTTGCTGGTGAAGCCATGATGTCTTGTTTTTGTTGTGTGTGCTCTTACACCAGTCTCTAGCCCTCTGATGGTCCGTAGCCGTAGCTGTTTGTTCCTGGAGCCTGTACTTCAGACTGGGTGCATCTGTCTCTGGTGTCTGGAGTAGTCTTCAGGAATATTAGAGAGATCCAGTGGTTTGAGAGTGGATGTTGAGTTTCAGATGTAGCTAAGGGAGAAAGTTTGCAGGTGCTTGTGTACAAGCACTGTAGTGTGTGTGCAAGTTTGCTTTGAAGGACTGGGTGCTAGTGTGTGTAGGCTCCTGGAAAGGTGGAGTGTATGCACAGGTGGAGGTGCTAGTGTGGCTCAAAGGTACAGTGCACATTCACAGGTGCCCCGATGCCTCAGTGGCCCACAGCCCTGTCTTACTGTCTTCCAGGTATTCAGATCTGTCTGAGTTGACAATCTTGGTTCTAGGAATTTCTTGCCTGACTCCACTGGGAGATACACCGAACAGGGGCTTCAATGTTGAGAATGCTGTCCCAGGGATCCCTATGTTGCTCACAGTGCCAATGTGGTTGAGAGGGATCAGATGTCTGGCTGCTAAGGTAGAGGGATCCCTGACCACAGGGTCTCATGAACTCACTTGAAGGCACACTCACTTGCAGGCGTATGAGGAAAGCATGGGGGTTCGGGGGGTGGGGTCCCATGATTTTCTATTGTTAATTTGGGCCCTCTTGGGCAAATGAAAGTGTAGGAGATCAGTCAGTGGTGTTTGCTGTTTGACTCCTGGGCAGGGAGGCCCATTCTTGAGGCAGCCGTTGCCTGTGCTCTCTCAGAGGGTTGAAAGTTCTTCACTCTCAAACCCTGGAGACATCAATGGGTGAGTTGGTTTCAATGTATCCCAGCTCACAGGCTGTCCGCTCTAGCCCGGGAATCCTGAAAGTCGATATTCTGGCTCCAGCCACCTCTCCAGTCACCAGTTTCGGAGTTTTGGATCCTTTGCCTCTCAGATATGGCGCGCACTGCTCGTTGTCATCTTGGAGCCCCATCATCAGAGATATTAACCAATTATTTTATGGATGATGTTAACCTTATTCACTTAGTAGATGGTGATGGCACTTGCCTAGTTTCTTTCTTATGAATTTAGTATTTTTACTTTTGTAATTGGTATCTATGTTGGGAAGAATATTTTCAAGCTTGTACACGATGATCATAGCATCTGTAAGGAAAATTATTGTTATGTTGTTTGCTTAAGGATAATTTCCTTATTTCATCTATATTTCTTACTTGGGAATTTCTGTAATAAGAAGCTCCCCTTCTCTGTCAATTATTTCTGCCCTTGTTTATTTATATCACTATAGACTCTTGTCTATTGTTTTAATGAATTTATTTAATTTATGTGTAAGAGTACTCTATCTGCATGCACCTCCATGCCAAAGAAGGTATTAGATCCCAGTATAGATGGTTGGGAGTCACTGTGTGGTTGGTGGGAATTGAAATCAGGACTTCTGAAAGAGCAGCCAGTGCTCTTAACTGCTGAGCAACCTCTCCAGCCCCGTCTCTTTATTTTTGACCTATGATAGCTTTATTATTATTGTTGCTCAAACTGTTCCATAAAACATAGCTTTGAACTCATAGAAATGATATTTTATTAAAATAAAACTGTTTTAGATATTAGGTTTATTGACAAATGAAAGCTGAACCATTTTAAATAGCATCGAACCCACTATACTGACAATGCTTTCTTTATGTTGTTTGCCTCTGATAGGTTTTGTTTCTTGACTTGTATTTGTCTGTTTTATTTGCAGTTTTAACTCAGACTGCTTTGTACTTTTATCCTGCTTAGATGGAGGTGATGACCTTTCTGCATAGGCTGGAAATTGCCTGCCTAATATGTTTTTTAGATCTAATTATATGATATGAATTTTATTTATTCTACAATTATTTCTATGGGTTATTGATACTAAGAGTGTTTTATAAAGTAGAAAAATATTAATAGAACCTAAGTATCATTGGAGTATCTGTTTTTTTTTTTTCCTGGGACTCCCTCATGCTAAGCATATCCTATATTACTGAACTACATCCCTAGCTCCATTCACAGTTCTAGAATAATATTAGTAAATACTTGTGTATGTATAATATAATAGTGTTTCCTGTGTTTTGATTTTTAGAAAACATCATAATTTACGGATAAGTTATGTTTTAATGGTTATGGTGATTTTTATAATCAAATGTCTAACATTAACAGTAATATCCAAAATCAGATTTTTGAGTATTCTAAGTTGTGATTATATTTTTTATTTCTGTTCATTCATGTTTTCTAGATAGCACCATAAACTAGGTTCACATTGTTTCTGAAGAGAATTGAAAATCTGAAGGTATATTGTTCATAAATCTTTAAAATCATATGTTAAGATAGATTTTCACATATGATTGGTTGAATCCTTTACATTACTTTACTAGCATGCCTAGTAAATTAAATCATGGTAGCTGACATTAATCCTTGTTAAATTAAGTTGAATAATTAGTATTAATATACTTTCATCTAAAACAAGCCAATTCAACATAATTTTTTCTATTTTTGAAACTTCAAAAATTGGCCTTTTACCACTTATTTAAAATTTCAACATCTAGACTTTCACACAAATACAGACTGCATGGCCAAATACATTACTTAGAAAACTTAGTTTCAAGTATACATTTTTACTTCATTTTAGAAAGATTGAATTATATGTTATTTATAAAATCTTTTTTGTACTGTTTATGTATGTGTATGTATGTTCACTTTAATGTTGGAGCACATGTAAGTTTACATGTGGATGGAGGCCAGAGCTTGCTGTCTGTTGTCTTCCTTGATAGCTGTCTGCCTTATAGGTTGTGACTAGGTTTCTCATGTAAAACCCCAGTTCACTGACTGGGCTAACCCAGATATCTAGCTTCCTCTGGGGAATCCTCTGTTAGCATCTCCTGAGCTATTTACAGAATCCTTTCCTCCCATTACTGTCACCTAACACACTGACTCATTTGGTATAAAATACCACAATTAATCTCCCTTCTTACCTTATTCCTTACCTCTCTCCCTCTCTCCCACTGTTCTTTCCATACTTTGATATTGAACCCTGGGCTTCTTACATGCTAGGCAAGTTCTCTACCACTGACATACACCGCTAGACATAGATGTGGATATTTATTTTATTAAAGCACCACATTATACTTTCTTATATTTTCTTAGAGTTTGAAGACATTTAAAGTCATTTACTCTAACCTAACTTGTAATTAAGAAATCTCACTTTATAGGGTGAGCAAGATGGCTCAGTGAAAGCCTGACAACCTGAGTTCAATCCTTGGAATCCGTATGGTGGAGAGAACCGACTCCTAAAAGTTGTTCTCTGATCTTCGCAGGTGCGACATGGCATGAACATGCATGCACACATACACACATGTGCAGACAGAAATAACTAATTAAATAACTAACTAAATAAATGTGATTTTAAAAATATCATTTACAGCTCCCTCAACAGATGACAGCTTGAGTTTGCATTCTGAAGTGCTGGGAATCCTACCTGTCTCAGGGTAGCTCCTTTCACTGTTTGCCATCTTGCTCTTGTGTATTCCAGGCAAACAGTCTACCACTGAGCTACAACCCCAGCCATGTTGAATTATACTGTATAATGGTGTTGTTTCTTAAAATTTTGCTCATTGATTTGAATCTTTTGAATCAACAAAAAAAAAAACTGCTCTTTGCTATTGTATAGACTTTGATTTATCAGCATTAATATGGGGTTTACTACTCTGAACATTGTAAGAAGTTGGAGATCTCTAATCATCCTCATTATCTTAGTTTATTATTCATAGTTTTTTAAAAGTGGTTTTGGGAATTGAATATAGGGCCTTGTGCATGCTAAGTAATTGTTCTACCACTGAGTCACATGGAACCTGCCATCCACTCTTTGCCTATGATGCCATACTGAAATCAATCTTAAGATAAGAGATAGGGACCATTAATGATAGATTAATGGTCTTTTAAAGGCCCTTATGGCTCATTTTGTCTAAAGTCACTAGGCCAAACACTGTAAAATTGAGAAAAAAAAAAAAAAAAAGAGAGAGGAGTAAGAAAACTTTTCCTTGGACTCCAGAACTTTGTGTTGTCAGTTCTGTTTGTTGACTATTAAAATGCATTTCCTAGCCGATAGTTGGGTAAGTTTTGTAATGCTTCAAATCAATGATAATATTAATTTCCATGTGCAATACTACCTTATATATAACTATTGGACAGTTAGTTAATGTTTTCAGATATAAGTTACCCAGGGCCTTGCACAAGTTATTCATACATGGTACTTTTGAGCTTGATTACAAGATCCTTTGTGGTCATACTTAATCCTACAGGTAAGTACTAATTATGTCCATTTTATGGAAAGCAGAAATAGTCCTCAAAAGCATATGACCAGTGAAATACTAGGATTCGGATTCAAATTTAAATCTTTCTGGTTCCCGTGACTTTTCCCAACTCCACTGCAACTTACCTTTCTCGAAAGTTCTCTTTGAACATTTTTCTTGATTTGAAGGAGATGTATGTGTCTGTCATACTTCTTCTTGTCATTTCCCTTTCTGACCTATTGTATGTTTAACTTTACCAGAATCAATACTTCTTTTCCTTTTGTGAGCGTCACTATTTATTTACTTAAATTAGTATAAGATATTAAGCAGATTGTGCAGATCATTTTCAATTAAGGAAGAATAATTAAAATTAAAATTAGTTTCAAAAATGAAAAAGAAAAAACTTCTTTGCTCCTAAACTTGATTTATAGTAGTGTCGTAGAACTTTGCAGTTAGAGTTAGGATTTATGAAGCAAGTTTTAATTGCCTCCAATTACTGCCTTATTGCATGTGGGACTAAGGAAATAGTTTGGAGTAATTAAACCTCTTGTTCTTGCTTGTTGTGTATAGCTTGGCATGGTGGAATGGATTGAACCTCCTAAACGGGAACGCAAAGCGAACTACGCAGTGGATGCTTACTTTAGAGAGGCTTTGCGAGTCAGCGAGCCAAAGATACCAAAGGTAAAACTGTACAAGACTGCTTCTTATGTGCTGTTATAGAATTCTCTTTTAACATGATTTGTAATTCGGATGCTTATTACCAAATCATAGTTCTTAAAATATAATAGTACGCCAGAACATAACATAGGTTAGCTATATGAATAGATTCTGTTGTATTTATTTTTCCAAATATAAAAATAAATCACTAGAGTTACTTATATTAGCTTTATGCTTCATGAAAACAAGTATGTATGTATGTAATGTATTTTTCTCTCACAGGCTCCTCGGCCTCCAAAACAGCCAAATGTTCAGGATTTTCAATTTTTCCCACCACGTTTGTTTGAGCTCCTGGAAAAGGAAATTCTTTATTATCGGAAGACTATAGGATATAAGGTAATTTTCAAATAACTGAGATATAATCTTTAAAAATTATTTTATTTTATTTGTTATGGATGTTTTGCCATCATGTATGTCTGTGCAACACATGTGTGCCTGGTACCTACACAGGCCAGAAGAGGGTCTTTGATTCTGTGGAACTGAAGTTACAGGTGTTTGTGAGCCATTGGGTGGGTGCTGGGGAATGAATCTGGAAGAACATCAAGTTCTCTCAACTACTGAATCATCTCTTCTAGTTTCAGTGGTCTTTTGCATGCTGTTGTAGAATTCTCTTATAATATGATTTGTTATTCTGATTTTTTATATTATTGCCGAATCATAGTTCCTAAAATACAACAGAACATCAAGTACTGGTTAAAATAGACTATGCACTCCAATGTTAAAGAATTTAAGAGCCTTTAGCAATGTTTTAAACTTTTGGTAATGATTAAACTATTGAGTCACTCAAAAGGATCATCAATGAAAGCAACTGGTCTCTAGTATTTCAACTATAACATCTCTAATGTTATTTCAATAGATTTAGTGTTTGGATTGTCAATGAATGTGTAGAAAGAGCAAGTATGTGGTTGGAAATGAATTTTGATATATGATATGATTTTAAAATAATTTTCCTTAATAGAAATAAGAAACAGTATTTTTGTGTTTATTGTTCACAGTTTAATAAAAGCCCTGTTGGTGGTTAGTGGCTACTTAGATGTCAGAGATAACAATATGCATGAATATGAGTCATATAATTTCAAAATAAAATGATCTTTAAAATTCAAAATTATTTTCTGCATATATATGTAGATACAAATGTTAGTGCTAAATGTTAAAATTTAGTGGTTGTAATACTACATTTGCATTCTTGAGCGATTATGAGTACAGGTTGTTTCTGTATGTGAGAAGAGACTTCCTAGTCAATGGAGATGGTTGACCAAAGGTATGAGAATCACAAATGTAAAGAAAAATTTAAAAGTATCAGCAGAATTTGTAATCTTATGAAAATTTCTGTTTTATGAACTGGAAGTTATGCTTCAAAATTTATTTGGATCCACCTTTATTAGAGTTGGAAACATGATCAATTATTTGGATTAGTAGCTGTAATTTGCCTGGAGAAACTCTATGTATTTAAGATAATTAATTTGTATTTCAGAACTAGAGTGGGCTTCTGGAGTGTTTACAGTTTTTTCTTATAGTGGGGATTCTTGTATTTAAATCAGAACAAAGAAGTCTTCCTTGCTCTGAATGTGTGAAGGTTTAATATATATATGTGTGTGTGTGTGTGTATGTGTGTGTGTGTGTATGTGTGTGTGTGTGCACACCATTTTATAATTTACTCAATGATTTAACACATATTTCATGTGAGCCTACAATCTCATTATATAAGCTTGATGGTCTTCCTGTTGGTGAGAAAACTGAAGTTCAGCAAAGTTCAATTACTTTGTGCAAGGTCACATAGCTAATGAGGTTGTCCTGCTATCTCAAACCCACTTATTAAAGTTTAAATAATGTGTTCTTTTTATCCAGACATTCTCGGCTACTTCTGCATGTGATATAACCCCATTTGTTTCTGTAGTCCTAAATAAGGACTGTGTTTATTAGTGGTATAACATGTCATTTGGGAGGTGGGTTACTGGCAGTCAAGTAGCAGCAATAAAAAAATAAATACATCATCTTGGCCAAGAGAACATTGTGTCTGACAAGCAGGATAAAAGTGACTTCACAGTGACAAACAGACAGAACTCTGAGTCCTAAAACACCAGTGATTGTGTTTACCAGGTGAAAGAAAAATCGTAGATGTGGGAAGCAATTGGGTGCATTCTCCAGTTACCCAGCTAAACACGTTCAGAGTTCCCTGGTCCTGGCAGGCACCCTTTTTGGAGCACAGAGTCACAGGCCTACGTGCTCTGATCACCATCCCAGACTGAACTGTAGGCCCTACAACACCAGAGACTGGGATTTCCAGTCAAGAGAAAAACCCCACGGTGAAGGAAGCAATCAGGACAGACCTCAGGCCACCCAGACAATCCCTGGAAAAGATCCCAGGATCTGGCAAGATGACGGCCCAGAGAACCGCCTGCTTGACAGACTCACCATCCCAGACAGAACTGTGGGTCCCAGGGCACCAGAGACTGAGTTTCCCTGTCAGGAGGAAACCCCATGATGAAGGAAACATCAGGTCCAACCTCAGGGCACTCAACCTAACCCCCATCCCCAAAAGTTCTGGGAAAAAGTTCCTGGGTTCCTCCAGGCACAAAGTCACCAGCATAAAGCCACTCCCCTGCTCCTGCATGCTGTACTCACCATCCCAGACTGAACTGTGGACCTCCAAACACCACAGACTGGGTCTCCCTGTCAGGAGGAAAGCCCACTGTGGGGGAAACATCAGGTCTGACCTCAGGACACAGAGCTAATACCTGGAAGAGTTTCTGGGCTCACGCAGGTTCCTGCCACACATTACTCCAACCTCAGACCTATAGAAGCCTGGGATCCATAAGATCAGCCACAGACACTGCTCCAAGGTGCAACCTGTCTACCTTTGTAGCCAAGCTGACAAAACCTTGGGACTCCCTGGTTTTTCAAGAGGGCTGCGCCCAGCAAACACAGTGTAAGAGCAGCAATTAGCTCACTAAATTCAGAGCAAGGAACCTAGCAGCAGGGTAGCTGTCTCTAGGGTTTCTCCTGCTGAGAGGAGAGCCCTCTGACTACCAACGACCATAGTTAGCACACAGGTCCATACGCCTGAGGTGAGCTGTGGCAATTCCCAAGAAGCACCACACATCGGTGACCATATCCAAAAAGCTAAGGAGGCCTCCTTCAAGAACAACCGTCTTCCTGGTAAGGGGATTCTCCTCACCCCAGGATTCCAGCAGGCATCACAAACCAACAGTCAACAACTAACACAGCCAGATGGGTAGAAGCCAGCATAAAAACACAACCAACAAAAGCCAAAGCAATATGGCATTTCCAGATCCCAGTTATCCAGGAGCAAGTAGCCCTGGACACCATATCATAAGTGAAATTCAAGAAGATGACTTTACATCTATGCTTATGTAGAGGATAATGGAGGAAACAAATAAAATGCATAAACAATTAGAGCAAAATAAAGTCAAACAGATTATGCTCATCCTTAAAGAAATAGAGGATGGTAAAGTCAAACAGATTAAGGCCTTTTGTAAAGAAATAGAGATATCACCTTACAACCATAAGAATAGTTAAGATCAAAAACTAACATGACAATACATGCTGGAGAGGATGTGGAGAAAGGGGAACCCTCCCTCCATTCCTGGTAGGGATGTAAACTTGTACAACCACTTTGGGAATCAATCTGGTGCTTTCTCAGACAGTTAGGAATAGTGCTTCCTCAAGATCCCGCTATACCCCTCCTAGGCATATATCCAAAAGATGCTCAAAGTACACAACAAGGATATTTGCTCAACCATGTTAATAACATTTTTATTCGTAATAGCCAGAACCTGGAAACAACCCAGATGTCCCTCAACTGAGGAATGGATACAGAAATTGTGGTACATATACACAATGGAATGCTACTCTGCAATTAAAAACAAGGAAATCATGAAATTTTCAGGCAAATGGTGGGGATCTAGAAAAGATCATCTAGAGTAAGGTATCCCAGAAGCAGAAAGACACACATGGTATATATTCACTAATAAGAGGATATTCACTAATAATAAGATAGACATATAATATAGGATAAACACACTATAATATATATAACAAAAGCAAGAAGGAGAATGCTGGGTAAGATGATCAATCCTCACTCAGAAAGACAAATAGGATGGACATTGGAAGGAGAAAAGAGGAAACAGGACAGGAGCCTACCAAAGAGGGCCTGTGAAAGCCTCCACCCGGCAGGATATCAACACAGATGCTAAGACTCACAATCAAACTTTGGGCAGAGTGCAGGGAATTTTATGAAAGAAGGGGGAGATAGTAAGACCTGAAGAGGACAGGAGCTCCACAAGGGGGGCAACAGAACCAAAATGTCTGGGCACAGGGGTCTTTTATGAGACTGATATTCCAACCAGAGACCATTCATGGATATAACCTAGAACTCCTGCTCCGATGTATCACATGGCAGCACAGTCTCCAAGGAGGTACCAATGGGAAGAGGGACTGTCTCTGACATAAATTCAGTGGCTCACTCTTTGATCACATTCCCCTAAGGGGGAAGCAGCCTTGTCAAGCCAAAGAGGAGGACAATGTAGTCAGTCCTGATGAGACCTGATAAGGTAGGGTTAGAGGGAAAGGGAGTAGGACCTCCACTATTTGTGGACTTGGAGAGGGGCATAAAATGAGATGAGGGAGGGATGGTAGGATTTGGAAGGAATGAGAGAGGGGGCTACAGATGGAATACAAAGTGAATAAAATGTAATATATAAAAAAATAAAAATTAAAAAAATAGAGCATGATAAAGTTAAACCAATTGGCCATCCGTAAAGAATTCGAGGAAGATAAAGTCAAACAGAGTATCTGTAAAAAATACAGAAAGATGCAGCCTAACAGTTTGTGGCCTTCAGAGAGGAAGTAATTAAATCACTGAAAGAAATAAAACAAACAGAGGAATATTCAAAAAACAGGTGAAGGAATTGAAGGAAAATTCAGTCAGACAGGTGAAGGGAATCAACAGCATAGTTCAAGATCTGAAGATAGAATTAGAAAAATTAAAGAAAACACAAATGGAGGAAATCATGGAGAGAAAGAACTTAGGGAAGAAAACAAGTACTACAGAGGTAAGCATAACCAACAGACTACAAGAGATGGGAGACAGAATCTAATGTATGGACGACACAATGGAAGAAATTGATGTTACTGTCAACAAAATGTTAAATCTAAAAGATTCCTGACATAAACCATCCAAGATATCCAAGACAACATGGAAAGACAATACTTAAGAATAATAGAATTAGAGGAAAAAGTAGATTCCAGTCTCCAAGGCCCAGAAAATATTTTCAACAAAATCATAGAAGAAAAATTACCCAATATAAAAGAGA